TCTAACAAATAAACAGTTATTATTCGTTTATTTACTGGATAAATGAAATTACGTAACATATAAACCACTTCTTTTTATTGTAGATTTAATAAGCTATTTATTAAACTTTAGTGTTATCATCGCATCGAAACCCTTTTTTTAAAACAGAATGCCAGTTAAATTATTGAGCCGTTTAATGCTTTTTTCATTTTAAGTCATCCTAAATTGCTGATCGAATAGTATGTAATTTAAACTGTTTTTATATGCACCTCGTATGTAATAAAAGTGGTTTATGGAACCTCACTGCTTGTTCATACTATCGCATTAGTAGATTACCTATAGGTTAAATTAATAGACCGAAATACGAAAAAAGAATAAAAGAAAAAAAGAAAAAAAGATACGAAAAAAATGCATTCTAGTTTACATGTTGGGAAAGTATGTATTATGTTGTATATCGAAAGATTATACATCCTAATTTTATTATGATGCAATGATTTATTATAAACACTAACTGAAAATCACTGACAATGTGAAAATGAAGGACATCGTCGTGAAAATCGATGTAGTTTATAAGATAAATATTACAGTTGGCAATAATTTTCGGTTTCGGTTGTTTTCTTTAATAAACAACGGTTACTAACGGTCACACAGCCGTCCTGATGGTAAGTAACTGCTGTGGCCCATAGACCACATTACCCATATTTAATACTTGATTAAGAATCAAAATGAACTAAGATACCCAATTTTCAGTAAAACAGGGTCTTCGGATCACTACACTTACCATACTAAATACAGCATGTAGCTGTTATTTCACGCTAGTATTATGTGAGATCGTTGTAATTCCCCGATCGAATCAACCCATTCGTGGTACAACTTGCAACAGGGCTCTACCACGAAAAAGGAACAAACGTCAAGATCCGAAACAATTAATTAAGTACGTACTATGTAAAAAGCTTTGCAATTTCAAGCATGAAGTTATTAACTTAGTTAAAGCTAACAGCACACAAATATGCGATAAGAACGGCTTCCCAATATCATTACATCAACTGTCATATAATATAACTCGGTATATTTGTTTACACCTCTCACTCATTGGCTTGAAGAGAGGGGTTTGTTACCACAAATTCTATAGTCCGGTACAGATTGATGACCATCACCATCACTAGTATTTTCAATGCGTTCATGGTTTTTGGCCGGATTATCAGCCTTCGATCGTTCAAAGATTTTAAATTAACATAACACGCTAGTATTCTGTGAGACCACATAGTCGTGCTACAAGTCGTGCTACAAGTCGTGCTAGAACCTGCAGCATGATTCTGCCACGTAAAAGGCCACTAATAGTATATAAAAATCTTTGCAGTTTCAAGTAGGAACTTATTTATGGGTTACGTTCTGTGACTAAAGTAATAGTTTGAGCAGTTGTCGAGGAGATATTAAAGACTTTGAACTGTTTGAAAGTGCTTATAAAGTGAGCCAGCTACTGTAAGTTTCCGATACTCGACTGCAGAGAAGTACTTAACAGTGAAGTAGAGACCCCGCGTCGAATATGAGCTAAGAGCGAAATCGGTGCTCGATATTAAAACTTGCCACGATTTATAACTACCTTTAACTTCGCTTTACTTTAAGTAGTTAAACACATTAAACTACGTCAGAAAGCCGAGCTTTTTCTTCATACGATCAATATGAGAGTGGTTATGCACTATAACCACTTCTCGGTTCCGAAAGGTTGTCACTGGTAACACGCAGTTTTAAAAAAAATAAAAAGAGAAATAATGCTTTAAGTTGATCAGTGAGCAAGAGCAAGAAATGAATTAACAACAACGTATTCCATATATAAATTGCACTTGGACAAACATCAAGATCCGAAACAATTATATTTAGGCCACCTCCGGGGCACGCAGCGCCGTACCCAAATGCACTTGCTTGCTACTGAGCTCACAAACCTATGGGACTATGGAAAGAGCTATGGTCGGAGTTTATTTCGTGATATAATTAGTAATAAATATACAGTAGAACCAGAATAACCGACATAGCCCAGCGGATCATCACATACATTTGAAGTGGCAATTTAACAGCTATATAGCTCGAAAAATTGTACACAATGGGTAAGAAAGGTTCTCGAGAAGGAATAACGATAACATTCCACGCAAAAATATCAAAAGTCACAAGATCTTCTGGGCACATCCTGAGTCGTGTATTATGATTATGACACTCATAGGATGAAATGGAGGATATATTCACTTATGGCGTCTGCAAATGGAGATTTATGTCAAGATAAATAATTTTAAATCTAACAATAGGGTGTAAAATCTTCAAAAAAAATAGTTATTAATCTTAAATTAACTATTTTTCTACAAATTTTTGTTAAAAAATTATAAATCATAGTAAATTAATAATTGAATATTATGCTATCTAAATCTTAACCAGAGCAACCAGAGTTACTTGTAACCTAAAATATTTCTGTCTCACCTCTTCAACGATGGCGATTTAGTTTCGCTAACGATAGGAAGAAAAAGAATTGCTAAAAGAATCGCATCTGCCATTCAACTACTTATTGCTGCAAGAAGCGAATAATAGTAATTTTACACAATATCTTAAGACAAGACCGTAAACTATTAAAATGAAATAATTTGTATAACTTTCTGAACCTAAACTATAGAAGAGGGCTTCACTAGAGTGCTCTTCAGGAGTACGTGTGATCACAAACACGTAAGCGGGCTCAATATTAATTCCAGGATCATTTCCGAACTACCCTCATCGCGAAAACGACCTAAGTAGCCGATGAAATGTTATGTTTTATTACATTTTATTAGAAAAAGTTTGAAACATTTAAAAACATAAATGTTTTCGAAAGAGTAAACGATAATATTAGTATTGATGTTCTATATTAGGTAATAAACAGGTTTGTATTGATATTACCGTTTCAGTGCATACTATATTATAGCCAATTTATTATCTATGTGTTCGAAACTTTACCAAGTATCTCTTTTATGGAAATGATTTGCCGCATAGTAGTATTTTATACTTATAACTGTTCTTAGTTAGTTTATAGACGATTCATCCTGACTGTAAGTGCTGATGAAGTCGAAAATAGTAAAGCGCACCGACTTAACTTTAACAAAAACCTATTCCAGAAATACTTCGTCCGTGCGGGATTCGAACCATCGGCTCTGAGCGTCGCAGCTCATTTAAAGTGAACGATCACAAAGTTTTTATCTCCAAAAACGTCAATTTGTATGCATTTGTAATACATACGAGTTGCAAAATCATTATAATATACCTGTAATGTCATTACTAGACTTTTAACAACATATTACGTTATTACAGAAATGTTAATTACCGAAGCCAGACAATCTAATTACATCATTATTATATTATGATGTGATATAAAATATTTTAAAGGCGTAATTTGCTCAAGATTCTATTGCGCAATAAACAACGAATTCATGAACGGACAATTCTTTAGTTTTCCATCTACAGCGGTCTGACATTGTGATTGCTCAAACAAAAGCAATAAAAGGAAATGGTTATGACATCACAGTAAAATTGAAACCCAAACGACGCGCCTCGCCGCAAACACAAATAAAAAAAAGAGAAAAGAGTACTTGTCATTGAGAAAAATCAGTCCAATATGAATATAATTATATATTTTTAGATTCTAAGCAGTTTTTTTATAGGATAGAGTGACAAACTAGCACACAGCCACCTTAAGTGGTTGCTGCGGCCCATGGACATCTACATCTATCTCCGATTACAAATCAAAATGCAGATGCGTTGTCACCTGTGACGAATAAGATGGAATGACTCGTTTCCAGTAAAAAGGGTCTCCGGTTCTCTACACTCGCCATACGAAGCACAGCAACATTAAGCTACTATTTTACGCTGGTATTCTGTGAGAGCGTGGTCCTTCCTCGGTCAAGCCGATCCATTCGTGCTACAACTATACTACTAATATAACTACAGCGTGGCTCTACCACCTATAAAACAGTTTGATTATTTGTTAAGTTTGGTATCCAAACATATTGAAAAATAAGACACGATATTTCGATAAAGTGTGAGTGCCAAAGAATGTATGATGGTAACATTACGTTTTATAGCCACCGTAAATTAATATTAAGATTTAAAGTACTGCTCTCTGATATCAGAATAAGACATCCGCCTGTATCAAAGCGCGGGCGCCGACTGGTTGTTCTAAACTTCTAAATCGTAACGTTGCGATTACACTGTCCTAAATTGTAAACAATGGACAATGCGACAAAAAAATACTTATTTTTTTAAGTGTTTTTCCGATAGAGGGATGTAAAAGAAAAGACCCATGTCTTAATTTTTGAAAAAATATTTTTTTTCGCTGGAAGTGACGTCATCTAGAGGCATTGTAATGCGACGCCTGTGCCTACGTTTTTCATGTTTCCGGAAAAAAAGTAAGACTGACGTGACGGCTGACAGAAGTAACCTATAACCTAAAATATCACCTGTGTTCGACATCTAAACGCCCTTTATCAATTAAAAATGAAGACCAGCGATGGATTTGTACGTGCCGACAGCCAAAACCTTCCAAAAGTGGATCTTCCGATGCTTATGGAATATATGCACAACAATGACTAGCATTATGCTAGTGACATAAGAGGAGCCAAAATACTCATGTCATCTCGAGATTCCTATGTTGATACAGCTATAATTGGTTACGTAGAAGTTAAGAGAGAAGGAAGGAAATGTGTTTTGAAAGCAAAAGTGACCCCAGAGCACCGGATTCGAACAAAAATGTACACGGTTTCCATTATTACAAATGAAGACAGTGAAGTTATTGAAAACTTAATCTGTGGTGACTGTGCTGCATCTGCAGGCGGTTGAAAACATGGAATTTGTTTTTCACACTGGATCATCAAAAGGACTGAAGAGCCATCAGTTACATCTGTCTCTTGCTACTGGCAGAAACCCAGACTCAGTGAAGCCATCACCAGTGGTATGCCACTGCTAGCTTCAAACCCAGGAAAGAAGACTTTGAAAAAATCCACTCCACTATGACTTTGCATAACATATTAGAAGAATGTAAGAAAAGGGAATCAACTTCCTCACTTCTTGTTAATTACTCTAAGTACAAAGAATATCTTGATGATTTCAGTGTATTTCATATTATGTTAAAATATTATAAGCAGTTTAAAGATATAGGAGTATGTTTTGATAGTTTTAAGATTTACAGTGCAAATCTAGTCACAAATGAGTTAGTACATGAAATTGAACGCGCAACGAAAAACCAAGTGTATAGTGTTTTATGGCATTCTTTGAGACAGGGGAGAATTACTGCCTCTAATATTTACAACACAATAAATTGCACAACTGCTAATGGTGTATTGGTCAAAACTATAGTGGGTGCGTACAAAGTGCCAGAAACCCTGGAGAACTTGGTAAAAAAAGAGGTAGAGGTTGAACTTGATGTGGAGGTAAAGGACTGTGGCTTCGTGCTGGTATCTGGCATAATAGGGGCTTCACCAGATGGAATCACTGACAACTATGTTGTTGAAGTAAAATGTCCATCAAAGGAATCTTCAATAAAAAGTATGTAGACGATAAAAACGAAATAATGGACAGATACAAAGCCCAGATAATGTTGCAAATGTATGCAGCAAACAAAGAAAAGGGACTTTTTTGTATTGCGGACCCAAAATTTGAACAAAATAAACAAAGTTTGGGTACTTTATGACAAAGAATACACATTAAAATAATTGAAAGAAGCTGAAAAATTTTGGCAACAGTTTATTTTTAACAATATTGTAGAATGTGTTAAGTTTGGTTAAATGTAAATATTTTGTTTTTATTGTGTTGTAAAATATGTTAATTAATTACTTTTTCAAAAATGAAGTACATGGATTACATTTTTGACTTTGACTATTATTATTATCCAACTAAAATCATTCATCTATTCTTCTTTTTTTTGTAGTTTGTTTGTAGGGGGTAATCTTTGAAAGTACTGATCCGATCATGAAAATTATTTTACCTACAGGAAGCTGCATTATCTGTGGGTGCTATGGGCTATAGTTTTCCCAAAGTCCCGGGAAAGCATTTAGTCCTATATATATTTCATAGTTAAAGTGAATGTCTTATTTTATAATAACTAGTGACAAAGTTCTTAAAAAAATCCCCTAGATTTTTGTGAAATAATAAAAAAAAATTCTTTTAAGAATAAGATTTATTAGCCATAACAATAACAGGTACACATTCATTTATAAAGAAATAACTTAATAATCAATATCATTAAATTTAAGTTAAAATATGTTTTGTGCTGTTCTTTCAATTTCACTTATTGAAGTGTTTTAGGGACAAAACATATTTTAACTTAAGAGTTTATGAAAACAGAAAAAAGTTATCACAAGTAAAATAAAAGGTAATTATTGATTGTTAGCAAGTTGTCCCATTTTCAACTCATCCCATGTGAGAAACTTGTCCTATTTGCAGCTCGTTCGTTCCGTTCGGAACTCGTGCTGTTCGCGACTTGCTTCATTCACATATCCCATCAACATAGAATAACCATTAAATCCTGAGACATGTTTAACTTGTTTAAAATATTATAGAAATAAGTTCAGCTTTTTAAGCATATAGATGTCACAAACAGATAGTAAAATAGTGTGAATTCAAAATAATATTAATATGGATTTCTAAATAAAATATAATATGAGATAGAATAGAAATAAATATATATAACAGAATAGAGATAGTCAACAGTTCTTAAGCGCCCTCCACATTCACGCCGTGAACACCCGTGAAAGGCGTGAACCGCGAATGTGGATGGCTTTCGCGCCCGTTCACGGGCTTCGCGCCTTTTCCTCGTTCAGTGTCGGTATTTTGTGAGCGCTTCAAAGGGTTTACGACGCGTGAAGCTCCCGTGAACGCAAGCGCATCCACACTCGCGCGTGAAAACAGTAACGCGCGAGACTCGTTGACTAGTTGCTGTGAGGTTGTGCTTATTTGTATTTTTTACGGAGGACGGTGCGTCAAAATGAGCTTCAGTTGGACGAACGAGCAGGAACTCTTGTTGATCGAGTACTATCATGCCGAACCCATTTTATCGGATGCTAAACATAAAGATCATAAAAATAAAATGAAAGTACACGACGCTTGGATACGAATAAAGGATATAATGAATTTTATTTTATTTTATGGGATAGGGTGACAAACGAGCATAAAGTCCACCTGATGGTATGTGGATGCTGTATTCTATAGACATCTACATCTATCCTCGATTACGAATCAAAATGTAGATGCGTTGTCACCCGTGAGGACTAGAATGGAATGCCTCGTTTCCAGTAAAAAGGGTCTCCGGTTCTTTTACGTGTGGTATTCTGTGAGAGCGTGGTCCTTCCTCGGTCGAGCCGACCGATTCGTGCTACAACTATACTAATAATATAACTGCAGCATGGCTCTACCACAAAAAGCGTTGAAGTGACTGATTGAAAAAAAAAGAAAATCTAATGTCCAGTTATAGAAATTATAAAAAAAAGGTGAAGGATTCTAAAAGGAAGTCTGTAGCAAGCAGCGACAAAATTTACAAGCCCATTTGAATTGCCTTTGACGTGATCGGTGCTTTTCTAGAAAGCGATAATTGTAAAAATAAACTACAAATACGGTTTTTTTTATCTTTTATATACACGTTATTGTCGTGAGCCAAAGCGCATAGCGTCACGGCGATAGCAGTGCATATTTCAGCGTCCATTCTCGACGAGCGCGCGAACTAAACTGTGAACAATTGCGAATGTGGGGGGATGTGTTTTTCGCGACGAGTTCGCGGCAAAATTACGGCGTGAATTCACGCCGTGAATCACACAGGAGTCTGGAGCCCGTATTATATCATTTCAAAATCAACATAATTATCATTTATATTCTAATAATCAATCAGCATAAATGTTCACCTATTTTTACCTTATAGGTAATAATAATAATGTTTTTTGTTACCTATTTAAACTTTACTAGTTGTAAAATTTTACCTTTTTTTCAAAAAATTATTATGAGATGAAAAATTATAATTGTTAAGATATGATTATTAAAATACAAATTATAATTTTAATTTTGAAATGAATAATAAGACGAATTATTGTTGATTATCTCTATTGTGTTTTATTTTACAATCCATATCAACGTTATTTTGAATTCATACAATTTGACTATCCGTTTGTGATGTGACATTATATGCCTAAACAGCTGAACTGATTTCGATAACAAAGAGTTCAAACAGGTCACAGGATTTTATGTTCTATTTTGATGGGACGAGTCGCGAACAGGATGATTTGTAACCAGGACGAATTGGGCAAGTTTCTCACATAGGACGGGTTACGAATGGGACGACCTGCTAACGAACCTAAATTATGTACTAAAATCTAAAAAATAAGTTAGATTTCAGTATTATAGGTACAAAAGAACTAAAAATATTTAATTAAAATACTAAAAATAAGAATGGACTGTATTACAAGAAGTAAGCAAATTTAAAAGATACATGCATGACACCTAGCAAGTAGTTTGGCTAAGTGGAGGCTTGCTACGTTGTATCTTGTTCCAACATCAAATAACAAATCAAAATCAACAAAATGTTAAGTTAAAATAAAGTTATTTATTTTTAAGTAGGAATTTCACAAGATTATATTTTAGAAAGTCAAAACTAATTAATAAAATGGTGTAGTTAACTTACAAAAATGTAAACAAATACATGTCAAAAATTAAAAAGACTACCCATTATTTCTTTCATTGAGTTGGAGTAACAGTCCTTACCGACCAGCAGTCTTTGTCGTTAATATAATCATCTGTCTTGTTACAATAACAATGTAAATCAATAGTTAAAAATTCTTTATTATGGGTGATTGCAAGTTTATCAGCCCACAAGCCACAACAACTGCATCATCCACACAGTTGACCAATTTATTATTTATAGTTGAATGAGGCTTCAAAAACTTGTACAATCTCACTCTTCGTATCACTCTTTCTATATGTATTCGCAGGCTAGCTATCACTTTGGATTCAATAGCCTCCATTTTGGTCATCTTTTTATTAGCTGATACAGAAGGTCGACGAAGTAACTTTACAGTTTATATTATTATTTTTTTTTTGTAAAATACTTTCAAGATGTTTGAAACCTCTATCAGCTAAAACAACTGAGTTTGGCTTAACAATGTCAAGGAAACCACTTTCCTCTACTAATTTAACATCTTTGATTCTCCCAGCGTATCCTTTAGATATAAAGGTTATGAAACCATTAGGAGTGGCACTTATAACACTTTAACACAGTTTATACTAGTATGGCCGTTAACGCCAACTACTTTGAAATGTAATTTTGTAACTTTAAATAGATATGGGGAATGCACCACTTCAAAGATTTGACTATTCACATTGGGCAGGCCAGGTAAGTACCCTCGCCCTTGTTAACACTGGTTAAAACGAAGACGAGGGGTTATTAAATTAACTATCATAAGTGTAAACCTGTTAACTGAGAGTCAAATAAATTATTATTATTATTATTAAATATTTTATGGTGTTGCAGTTTTGTACTGCGACTCTGTAGCTGATTGTTCTACAGGTTTGTTTGGTTTTTCTATTTCTATCTCAAAACAATCTATAATGCTCTGTACATTAGAATAGTCTTTATTTGTTCTAAAAGAAAGTGGCAAGTTTTTTTTAATATCAATTACTGAAGGCCAGTAAATAAATTGTGTACATATTGTGGAAATCATATCTAAAACCCTAGGGAAAATTCTTTGGAGTGTTCTCTCTGATACATTAAACAAATCAGCTATCTTATAAAATGGATCACCATGTTCCAATTTAAAGGGCACTGTTAAAATATGTACTGCTGGCGTTTTTGTATCATTACAAATGTAATCGATTAACCAAAAGTAGTTTTTGCGAACACCCAAATACCTATCAGGAGAGCTTTCTACTTTTTTTTTTAAATCAAGGGCAAGAGGCACATCATATTTTTTTAATGTAGAATCAGTATTTGTTTCTTGCCCTGATATTTCCACAGTAATTCCTTGTGTAGAAGGTAAATATTCTTCTTCAGATATAATATCTTCTACTTGACATGTAAGTCCTTGTTTCTTTCTAACTGTATTTACTGCTTGGTAAACCATAGATATTTCTACTTGTGTACTGGAATGCTTCAGACTTACATCACATTGTACAGCTTTTTCTTCTGAAAATTTGTCTTTCAATTTTGTTCATGGGTCACAACACACGATTGCAATAGGAACAGCTAAGGTACAGCTTCACCTGTCTTAGTCATGATTACGGACTACCTAGATAGACATATTATAGATATATCTTCGACTCTTCGACCTTCTTTCTTCTTTCTTTCGACTTCTGTTCGACCACGTGCTGGCGGGTTACAATTTTTGCCTAACGAAGCATAGAATCTATTAAAAGTATTTGCAATTAAAATCGGGTCTGAAGTTAAAGTACTGTTTATTTTTAGTTTAAGGTTATCTTTTTCTTTTATAATATTTTTATTTGTTCTTTCCTTTATTATATGCCATATTGTTTTGATTTTATTATTTGATCTTATAATTTTATTACTGTATTCTATTTTCTTTGATGTAATGACAGCTTTTTTTAGTAATTTTCCATATTTTTTATAATGTTGGATAAGTATTTCATTATTCGATTTTAATGCCAATACCTTTAGCATTCTTTTGTGTTTACACGATTTTTTCAACCCTACGGTTAACCAACGCTTTTTATATCTCGGTTTAATTATAATTTTCTCTTTGGGTATACATTCATTCAGTATATATATTAATTTATCGTTAAACTATCTTCTATAGAGACTAACTTTCGAAGACCATATGAGCAAATTGCTCGAAGAGGGGAAGGTCAAGAGTACTCGGATACCTAGAGGTGCATGTATGAAGAAGTTAATGAACCTGAAAGAAGCGAAAGAGGTATGTAAGGATCGTGACACTTGGCGATCTGTTCTCTCTGGCTACCCCGTTAGGGATTGTGCGTGAAGATAAGTAAGTAATAGATAATTTAAACTTAAGTTAAAAAGATATTTTAAACAACGTTCAATTTATGTTACAAAAATTATAATAAAGAACTTAACTAAAATAATAATTAAAATTATAATATTTACGATTAAAACTAATTATATACAATATAAAAGAAGAAACTATAATATAGAAAATCTAAAACTAAAAATTTAAATCGTCAAGAAGACCTGCTCCCCGTGGTATAGTGCCAAGAACGCTGGCTGCGTTTCCTCGCTGAATAGCTATACTTAGCCTTTGAGCGAGGAAAGAACCAGCCCTCTTTTTCCTGAATTCTCCAGAGGTTAATCTAGAACTGGTATTGTTTATTTTAACAATTTATTTTTTATCGCATTGTCCATTTAGGGAGTAGAGCGGTCGGGACCTCCAATTTGACTAAATCGGTTCCTAACTGTTCTAACTACGATTACACCTTCATCATCATCATCATTACAGCCCTTCACAAGTCCACTGCTGAATATAGGCCTCCCCAAGTAATGCCACAAAGCACGGTCCTGAGCCACCTGCATCCATCGACTTCCTGCATATCTTACCAGGTCGTCACTCCATCTAGTGGGGGGTCGCTCTACACTACGCCTACCGGTACGAGGCTGCCATTACACCTTCCTACTTCCTAATTAGATTTTCTAAAAATTGTATAGTGTAATAAGCTAACGCTTTAATTGTTTTTGCGAGATTTACAATGACCTCCGACAAAGAGGTCGTATCCCTTAAGTAAAATTATTTTAAGCGCTTTTTCTGCTTTATTTATTCTACGCACGTTGAAAGATCAGTTCATCTTCAGGAGTCTTTTTTTACTAATGCAATTTACTAAACGCATAATTGATTGAATGAAAGACAACAATCGGTACCTATAGCAAAAACGAGTTTTTAAAATGAGATGTATGGAATTGGGTGCTAGACATCGTTCCTAAAGCGCTTATTACATAATACAATTTTTAGAAAATCTAATTAAGAACCTAAATTGGAAGCTAGTGATCACATTACACTAAATTGAATTCTAAATCATGACGAAGCGCATTCGCAAAGAAGTATCGACGGGGTTGCACGTTTGATCGATGGCGCTGTATTTATCAAAACAGCAGAACATAGGACTTGCCTTAGCCGTGGTGGGAACAATGGATATTAAAAAAAGAGAAAAGAGTACTTGTCATTGAGAAAAAACTGTCCAATATGAATATAATTATATATTTTTAGATTCTAAGCAGTTTTTTTATAGGATAGGGTGACAAACTGGCACACAGTCCACCTGATGGTAAGTGATTGCTGCGGCCCATGGACATCTATATCTATCTCCGATTACAAATCAAAATGCAGATGCGTTGTCACCTGTGACGACTAAGATGGAATGCCTCGTTTCCAGTAAAAAGGGTCCCGGTTGTCTACACTCGCTATACGAAACACAGTTCACGCTGGTATTCTGTGAGAGCGTGGTCCTTCCTCGGTCGAGCCGACCCATTCGTGCTACAACTATACTATTAATATAACTGCAGCATGGCTCTACCACCTACAAACAGTTTGAATATTTATTAAGTTTGGTATCCAAACATATTGAAAAAAGAAGTCACGATATTTCGATAAAGTGTGAGTACCAAAGAATGTTTGATGGTGACATTACGTTTTATAGCCACCGAAAATTAATATTAACATTTAAAGTGCTGCTCTCTGATATCAGACTTCTATCAAAACCCTATTTTCTGCTGTTTTGATAAATACGGCGCCATCGATCAAACGTGCAACCCCGTCGATACTTTTTTACGAATGCGGTTCGTCACGATTTAGAATTCAATTTAGTGTAGTGTGATCACTAGCTTCCAATTTAGGTTCCTAATTAGATTTCCTAAAAATTGTATAGTGTAATAAGCGCTTTAGGACTCTCTCTATGCTAGTCATTACTCTGAGTTGTATATGTTTCGTGTTTTTACTTTCGTGGATTATTATGTGACCCTTTGCTTTTGGTTGTTACGCCCGAAATAATGTGGTGCTTGGGTTTTAAGAGGAATAATACAGACAATCCTTCGACTACTTTTCTAAAGAACATTTTATTAATAATTGCAGAAAATAATTAGGCAATTAAAAAAGATTAAGTTTTATTTTACTTTATTTAATAAATAATAACGGGCCCAAGCTTGTTCACCAACTAAGTTCATCTCCTTTTTGTTTGTCTAACTGACAGACAGTTCGTTTCACGGAAATTTTTCAAGTTATTTTGAAATTTTTTCGAGATTTCTTTCGACAACAATATCTCTCGAATGAATCAAACACAGACTGACAGACGCACACAGACATCATCGCACAAATAATAAAAATAGCTTCTCGGAACGTAGAGATCTAATGAGAAATCGATTTTAAAAAACCGGGGTGAAAATTATAACTTTTTGAAAATCATTGATTTTCAAAGCCGGAAGATGATGTTTGCAAATATTAGCCATAGTTGCAACGGTTGACAGGTAGGTTGGAACTATTATTATTATTAGTGTGATCTCATCAGGAACACGCTGCTGATCATCTGTTTCAGTTTCTCTCTGTCAGGAAGTGGGTTCTCCTACGAAACTTCAGTATGGCAACATACCAGTAAACAAAGTTTATACAGCAGTTCGATTACAGCGCTAACTGTCGCATCGAGATTACGTCATTTTCTGTTTTGGAACTAAATCAACACATTATTATGTGGTAAATAAGAGTAATTTGGGTCAATAAATATAAAATTTGTTAATAAATTGATTACAGAGCCATTCTGCGGATTATAGCGTTCTCGATATGAACCATTTTGTCGACAATACAAATGTATTGTGTTAATGGGCGTCCAAAAGTTGCATGACCACTTATATATGTATATATCAACGATGAAAGAAAATTTTAAAATAAATACAGTCTAATTAGTGTTACTCGTTTATTATTACAAAAGTTATATAGTAGAAAAAATTAAATGAAAATTCGTATTCCACAAACAATAAAAACATTATAAGGGTCGGACTAAACTAATGCTATTACGCGAAGCATCTACTAATGGACTTTTTCAACGTCAAAGAAAATCCTGATATTTGAGCCGCCTTGCCTAATAATATTGCGAACATTCTAGTTATTTTCTAAAGCTACTGGATATATACCTTTCAGTCTGATGAAAAAAAAATTAAAGTAATTAGAAGATTTATCAAGCCTCACCACGGACATTGCAAAAAAAAAAGAAAAGCGCATAATACCGTTCTAGAATTTCGTTAAAGAAATTAACATTATAATCTAATTAAAAAAATTTAGACTAGCTGTTACGCGCATCGCCTTTCAAATATAAAAACACAAAAATATGTATAAAACAATATATTCATATACTCAAAAAAAAAAACTCTTAAATATATCTTGTATATTAACATAACATGTACAAAACTGATAGACGTCATTTTAAATAATGAAAAAGTTATGTAATTATTTCAAATTCAGACTTTTCTTTTATTTATCAACACAATATAATATATTTTATTCAATGTAGATTACAAGTTATACTTATTCAAATTAATTTATGTTTTTACCACTGCTTCGGAAAAAATCCCCTGTTCTAGGTAAAACCAGCAAGTCACGAAATCCAACTGGACTCTTTTACACGCTTTTTATAACACGCCTAACCTATATTAGCTTCGCCTATACGTGTCTATGTATTATATAAATGTAATAGAATTTATACATTCAGTTTTGACCCACTTCCAGACGTTTTTTCTCCTGATTATTATGCAGATGTAAGAGTAATAATAACAGACGAAAATACAATAATCGGCTGATTATAACCTACCTAGTATTCTCACTATGATCGGTGTATGTTTACTGTTTTTAAACTAATATTATTTGAAAAATAATTTACTATTTTAAACAACTAAAAATATAAAACAAAGATATTAATAGTTACTTTGCAACCATCCGCTCAATTAAATCAAATAATGTGTCTTACCTAGTTTGAAGAGCACCTCCCGCAACGCTCCCGGAGTAGTGGTGCTGGGATTAGTGGTGACAGGATTAGTGCACGCAATTGAGGTAGGGCGGGAGGTGCTCTTCAAACTAGGTAACACAGATAATTTGATTTAATTGAGCAGATGGTTGCAAAGTAACTATTAATATCTTTATTATAATGGATTTCCGCAAAGTAACGCCTGGTTCTATCAAATATAAAACAATTACAG